AGGGGAGGGAAGAGCAAGGGAGGGGAAGGGAGGGGAGGAGCCGCCATGGGACCTTGGAGTCCAGTCAGGGCCCCATCTGACTTGGGAGTCAGGGGCTGTGCTGGACTTCTGGGGGCTCTGAGTGGGCCCGGGTCTCTCCATCAGACAGGGCCTTGAGGGAAGGAGGAGGGAGGTAAGACTCATTCAGCCTAGGGGACTGCCCCTCCTTCCCTATTTCCCTCCTTGCCCTTCCTGCCTGTGGGGCTATCTTTGAAGCCACATGCTCCCCACCATACCCTAGTGACAAGTGGCCGGAGTGAAGCTGTAATCTTATCAGCCCGGACCTGGACCCGGGCCCCAGGCGTCCTCCTCCAGGGAGGCCCTGGTCCTAGGACTTGGGGAAAAGCAGTGGGTTCTGAGGCAGCAGCCCTGACCTCCTAGGCCTCAGTTTCCCCACATCTGCCCACTGGGCTGCAGCCCTCCTGGGCCTCCTGAGCTCCCATCTGAGAGTCCTCCACAGGTCCGGCTCCCGCATCCCCTCATGAAAGGCACCTTCCTCGGCCTCACTCCTGCTCTCTGGATGTTGGACAAGTCACTGCTGAGTCTCTGCAGGGAGGCGTCTGGCTAGAGCAGCCCCCACCCTTTCCCCACCCCGTCCCAGGAGCTAAGTGGAACATCAGCCGGCGTGGAGCCCTTTCCGTGGACCTGCTGAGCCTAGCCCCAGGCCAGTCCCAGGTGGCGCCTGCCTGGAATTGAGCCCTGACTGCACAGAGCCAAGTCCTGACCCTGCTCGACATATACCCACACTGTGCCCATGCTCCCGTGGGGCACGAGAGCCAGGCAGGAGCACCGGCTGTCACCCAGACCCCAGGCTCTGTCCTGGGGAGCGAGAACTCCAGGGCAGCCCCTCCCAGCCCCTGACCACCCCAGTGCCTGCCCAGGGCCTGGCACCATTCCAATTGTGAGACCTCACACCCAGCTGGGCTCCCACCAGCCACCCTTGCGCCCCAAGCCCCTCCCGACACAGCCAGGCCTGGATGTCGCTTACCCCATCGGTGCACAGCCTGGTACGGGTTCTTCTCCAGGGACGCTTGGCGGATGACAGCAAAGTGGGCCCCAAAGTAGGTGAGAGCCACCGTGGTGGCCACAGAGAGGCCCAGCAGCTGCGGACAGGGCAGAGTCAGTGTGGCCCCGGAAGGGAGACCCTCAGCCCAGGAGGCAGGGCTGGGGCTCTCTCCAGCTCCCTGGTCCCATGAGAGACAGGCTCAGCTGCAGAGTTTCTCGGGGTCTCTGTGGAATGGTCTCAGGGGACTTCACTGCAGATGCCCCAGCACCCTCTCGGGCACACACACACATGGCCAGGTGTGTACACACTCACAGCCCGGCTTCCCCAGGCACCCAGGACCTCCAGTCATTCTGTCTGGAGTGGGAGTGAGCCCCACCTCATGCCAACACCCTCCTGGGCAGGAAGGGGAAAAGATCCCTGGTGCCCGGCAGCCAGTGCCCCTCCAACCCAGCTCGCCCAGGCCTTGGCCCCCCTCAGGCCTCCTCCAGGCCCTGCACTGCCCCTCAAGAGGAGAGATGGGCTGTCCACAGCGGTCACTGCCTGCCAACTGTCTGCCACCAGAAGCCCCAGGCACATGTCTGCAAGGGCAGGACGGGGACCGTAGGGCTGGTGTGTGTGTGAGGGGAGGGGTAGCCCCAGTGCTGGAGGCCTGGGGAGCAGGCTTCACCCCTGCTCACCCCCACCCACCACCCCCTCCTGCCCTATTACCAAGACAAAGAAGCAGGTGACCAGCATCTGGCATTTGGCAACCCTGACTCGACTCCAAGGCCCCATGGCGGTTCCCCTCCTCTTCTCTCCTCCCTTCCTTTTCCCTCCTCTCCCCTCCTCTTCTGTCCCCTCCCCTCCCCTCCTCTCCCTGTGGTTTCCAGCTGGGCAGGGGCCTCAGACCGCAGCTGCTGGCCCGGGAGGTAGGCTGCATCCGCCCTCTGTCTGTCTGTCAACAGGGCCCTAGGACGGAGCTGCTGGGTGCCCCAGAAGAAGGGCAGGCAGGAAAGGGAGGGGCAGTGAGGTCGGCCTCCTCACCCCACCTCACCCTGCTGCCCCCAGCCCGGCCCAAGATGCCAGGGCATTTGCTGACACCTGAGGCCCTTTGAAGCCAGGAGGACATGGCCTCATTTCTGGTGTGGCCACTGAGGACGGCGCTGAGAGCAGAAAGTGACGAGCAGGGATGAGTGTGGGGTGCGGGGAAACGCACCCGGAGAGGAGGATGAGCTCCCCGAACGGGGGATGTGCAAGTGTGGAGTGGGCCTTGGGGGCGTGATCGCTGGAGGAATTTGGAGACAGGTCTTGTTGGAACGCCATTGTGGAGGTGCTCTTAGGAAGCACCATTTGAGATGTCCAGTGACAAGTTTTGAGAAGGTCCTGGTTTTTGATGCCTTCAAAAACCAAATACCCTAAGGTGCGTTTTGTTGCAGAGCCTTCCTGGGGCCACCGGGTAGGCTGCGTCCTCTCTCACAGCCACGTGTGGCCTCCAGGGGGAGGCTTTGACAACCTCGAATTTGTAATTACACAAAGCCATGTAATTACACGTGGGCGGGGCCCTGCTGCAGGCCCCAGTACAGGCAGGGTTTTTGTGGCCTCTGGGCGAGGGTGGGCCTGGAGAGGGTGAAAATGCTCCAGGTGAATCCCCGTGCAGGGACCACTCTGGGCGCTCCAAGGTGGTGCTGACAGGTGCCTCTGCTAGCCCTCCCCACCTCTGCCGTCCCCTTCAGCCGGTGCTGAAATTGCTTCTCCTACATTTGGTCGGGACCTCATGGCGGTGGGGGGAGCCAGACCTGCAGGTGTGGCCACCCAAGTGGCTGTGGGAGGATGGGTGGGCTGCTGCCTGTCAGGAGCTGCTGGGGGAACTGCTCAGACCTCCTCCTCCCTCCCGCTTCGCCCAGCACCCCGCCCCAGACAGCACCCTTGGTAGCTCTGGCCCCCAGGAATTCCCGTTGTGAGTTTGAGGGGCTTGTGTGGGCCTCAGATGCCTGGCATCCATAGCATCACTTTAGCTGGAGGTCCAGGTGTGGTTCAGGCTGGGGTGCAGGGATGAATCCAGGGGTGGCAGCAAGTGTGAAGGGACCAGATCCAGGGTCAGGAGGCCCTGGCTGTGCAGGTGGCCAGCTCGGCCTCTCCCGGGAAGCTGCTCTGGGCTATGTCCAGCCCATCCCTGGAATTGTCCTCTGTCCTTGGCCGCCCTGGAGCCTGTGAGGTGGGCCTGGAACACCACGCCCTCCTGGGGTGCCTCTTTGCCAGGTCTGAAGAATTTTGGAGCAGGGTGGGCCTGGGCTCTTGACCCACCCTTGTGGGCACCTTCTCACACCAGCATTGTGCCCTGGTGGCCTCACTAGTCATCTCAAAGTGGCATCAAACCTCCCATCTGGTGGACAGAATCCCCAGGCCGGCCCTCCAGAGACCAGGTCTGACCGCAGCCCCCCTCCCTGTGCCCACCAGTGGGGGCAGGGAGCCGGTGGAACCCCCGTGCCCTTTGCTGACCACACCTGCCCACCCTGATACCCCCTCTGCAAGAATAAGTGGCTCGTTGAGGGGAAGCCACTGTGCAGGCTGCTGCCGGCCTTCACACACCCCTAGCCACCTGCTCTAGAGGTGGTGCTGCCGCTTGGAGCCTGAGAGGCCCCTAGAGCAGCTGGTTCAGCCCCAAGGGGCTGATCCAGGAGGACAGCTGTCCCCCCCCCGCCTCACCAAGGAGCCTGTCCTAAGGGCGGGGCCGCACTGCAAGCCCGCCTAGGGGTCCCTCGCTTTATTTCCAGGGAAGAGATCGGGGGTGGATGCGTGTGCAGAAGTGGATGTGTAGGAGTGGATGTGTGTGCAGGAGTGGATGTGTGTGCAGGAGTGGATGTGTGTGCAGGAGTGGATGCATGTACAGGAGTGGATGCGTGTGATGTGTGTGCAGGAGTGGATGTGTAGGAGTGGATGTGTGTGATGTGTGTGGAGTGGATGCGTGTGATGTGTGTGCAGGAGTGGATGTGTGTGCAGGAGTGGATGTGTGTGTAGGAGTGGATGCATGTACAGGAGTGGATGCGTGTGATGTGTGTGCAAGAGTGGATGTGTAGGAGTGGATGCATGTGATGTGTGTCGAGTGGATGCGTGTGATGTGTGTGCAGGAGTGGATGTGTAGGAGTGGATGCATGTGATGTGTGTGGAGTGGGTGTGTGTGCAGGAGTGGATGTGTGTGCAGGAGTGGATG